GTAAATTAACATCACGTTTAAAATACAACCGTCTCTTCTTTCCATGTCCTATTTGTCACTTACAAACAGTGCCTTGTCATTTCAGTCTTGATCAGCAAAAGTCCATTAAGGGTTACCAGAGATAATGTATTTTTTTTAACATTGATCAAATAAATTTCACATGCCTTCTTTTTACTTTTAGCATTCTTAATATTTAGTCCTCTTTAAATAATGTTCTAAAACTTGATTTCTTTTCATATTTTCTTTATACCTTCTCAAAGAATTCCTCAAAGCTTTAACAAGCTTCTTTTGTAAATCCAATATAGGAAAATTATTCTGATCACTCTCTTGATTTGTTCTTTGTTTTTCCCTTTTCATTTATAAAGCATCAGCTGGTTCCTTTTCTTTGTCCAGCATAGTATTTTTTCCACATCATTCTTGTAACCTATTATTTTTAAATCCACTTTCAGATCAGTCTACGTCTTCCTGGCAAAACTTGCTCTTCTCCCATAACATCAAACACAGTCTATCTATAGAGCTGACATTCTCAAAATTAATTTCTGGATCCATTATTCCAAATATCCTTCAGTATGCCCAAAGTTAAAATATTTCATTTTATTCTGCATTAGTGAGCAAAATGTAAGTGTTCCTCTCTTTTAATTGTAATCTTTAGTTCCTCTATAGTGTCCAGCCTTCAAAGTCACAAGCTATTCATGATTTTTTTTAGAAAGAATTCAAAAACATTTTACCACAGGAAGTATTCTTATAATTGATTTCAAAATCCTATTTCAAATCCATTTCAAGTCCATTTGTAATTTTCCAAAGTCAAAATTCTAATAATCCTTCTGCTGTTTATTAAAAAAACATTAAATTCTTGAACTTATATTTAAAACTTCTTAAATAGAAATTGAAGGAAATTCGCCCGATGCTATAACTTGTTGATCCAAAGGTTCTTAATAGCTGAAAAGCAATTAACAACCAATTTCTGAAAGCGATTAGAAAAGAAACCTAGTCTCCTTTCTATGGCACTGACCATAGTTAGACTAAGATAACCAATACTTCATTTCCTGGAATTCTAAACCTGCCAGAGATTGCTTTCTTGTGGTCTCCTTGCAAGGAGCAATTGTCTGGAGCAAGAAATTTCAAATTCTCTCATTGTCCAGAGAGCAATTATAAAAAGTCAGTATTCATTGACTCTTCATTCTGCTGTGGTTATCAGCTCTGTTTTGGCAGAGCCATCTTCAATTCACCATTTATTCCTTAGAAGGTGCTGCCCAACATTTTTTTAAAAGTTGTAATTTTAAGGCAGTGTTTCTCAACCTCAGCAATTTTAAGATGTGTGGACTTCAACTCCCAGAATTCTCCAGCCAGCATGCTGGCTGAGGAATTCTGGGACTTGAAGTCCACAAATCGTAAAGTTGTTGAGGTTGAGAAACACTGCTTTAAGGGAAGTGCTTCTGCCACTCTACAAGCAATGGAACAACTGTTTGACATTTCCAATATTTCTTTCTTGTCTACAAGGGTTTTTAATTTTTCACTGTGGCTCTTTCTTCTAAAAGAGTTGTGCAAGCTGTCAAAGTTCCAATAGATAGCCAAATAAATCAGAACTCTGAGGCTAGAGACTTCCTCAAAGAACATGTTTATTGGATATAACATATTGGTATGATCAATAAAATTTCCTCCAAAGAATTACACTATTACAAAATCAAACTTCCCACCCCAGTGCTGTGCAATCAGCTACATTTCCCAATAGAATAGTTTGGCAGGCTTTCCTAACGTAACTGAAAGAATGACCTTGGTTCCTGTGGGACACAGAATTGTTTAGATTAGCAAAAATCCTCTGCACACACACACACACACACCCATTCATGTGGCAACCTAGAATGAGCAAGATGGCTACGGCCAGGTTGTTGTAGAGTTGACACAAGCCTGAAGTACAGGGTAGATTGGATTCGTATAAAACCCCTTATATACATTCTGCAGTTTTAAATGTATGCTTGTCAACCAAAGTCATTATGAGTGTTTCAGTTGACAACATCTATTAAAATGGTACTTGTCTTATCAGGAGTGTCTTTCTTGTAGATTAAAATGTTAATAAATTAGCTAGTTCATATTTGTATAAATCTGAACTAGCTAAATTATTAACATTTTAATCTGCAAGAATGACATTCCTGATAAAACAAGTACCATTTTAATAGACGTTGTCAACTGAAACACCCATAATGACTTCAGTTGACAAGCATATAGATTTATACAAATATGAATTATCAATAAATATATATTTTCATCACTTGCTGTATATTTTAATTTATGAAGGTGTTGTGGACATATACTGGTGAAGCTCCAATCAATCTTGCCAATAATACAAAGCTGTTTAATTGGCTTCCACAGAACGATCTACTTGGTATGTTTGGGTCGGAAATTAAGGGGGCTTGTTTTTAATTCAGTTTTGATTCTGCTTCCAGTCTGTTATGGTGCTAAATATGAATAGCTTTATATGTATTACCCAACATCAACTAATACCAAATACTATGAAGAAATGCAAACTTGGATGGACCTATTCCCAAAATCTTTTTTTTTGGGGGGGGGAAGCGAAATCATTCCTCATGGAACATTGTACCAATATTATCCTTTAAAACCTAAGTAAAGCATTGAATCAGACCTAATCTGGCTGTTTTATCATGTTGCTCCTGCAAGGAAATACACATAGAGCAAAAACTGATCAAATGACCCATTTTTCCTATGAACACTGCTTTCCTCAGATGATTTGTGGAGCTTGCCTTCCACCTAAGTGTAAAAATGCCTGTTCCTAGGTAAAATAATTAGCATTTCTTCTCAATGCCTTTTCAGGAAAAAATAATGGATGAATGGGTAGGTGGTTTCTGTAGTTTAAGAAGTTTGGCATTTCATTATTTTTTTTCTTTTATTTTTAGTGTTTATTAAAAAATCTTTTAAAAATGCATAGATTTGGATAGGCTATACTAGATTTTTTGAAGAAGTTCCACGGGTTAAAGCTCTTTTGTTCATTCATATATCCCTAAATTAATTACACAAAAACAAACTGGGTTATTCCTTTTATACCATAATACAAGAAATAGAGATTGAAGAGAATTGAGATCTGAAATAAACAAGCAGGGAGATAGTGCTAAACAGAGGGCCTTTATATTCTACTCTGGAGATATCCCACCCAGACTATAGAGAATGTATTAAGTCAATAGGTCTGATGTCTCTTCCTATCATGAAGAGAGGAGTGTTGGAATATTCATGAGCAGGAAGAGTCATGTGGTAACTCAGTCAGCCAATGTGAATAAAGTGCTACTGAGTCTGTGCAAAAAAGGTATTGAGTTAGGAGCTGGATTTTTTATTTAGTCTCAGGTCTGTCTCTGTATCTCTCTGTAAGAAGTCTTCACTGTATTATGTTGCTGTAAGAAGAATGTATGGTATTGTAAATATTTTGATATGAATATAAAGAGGTTATTTGAATCAGCTAAATGCAGTCAACTGTGAGAGCTTCTGATTTATTTTTACCATCAGAGAAATTAAAATTCTCTAACAGTTTCCTTCTACTGCAACAGAGGAAGTATGTTCTTTTTCCTTTCTCTCCCTCACTTCCCCCCTTTTTCCTCCCCACCGTGTCCTACTATTTGCTTTTGAATTTTTGTATTTTATTCTATAATCTAATAAAATATTACAAACTGTAGAAAAAAAGTTAAAAAGTACCAGTTTTAATTTCTTCGGTGGCTGTTCCTTTGCTAAATCCCTTTCCCTTTGCACTGACAAATGTATGATGAATTTATCCATGTTTATTAATATGCACCACTACCAGCTAGTTCAACGGTCTTCAAACTTGGCACTTTTAAGACTTGTGGACTTCAACTCCCTCATGGCTGGTTGAGGAATTCTCATGGCTCATGGCTGGTTGAGGAATTCTGGGAGTTGAAGTCCACAGGTCTTAAAGTTGCTAAGTTTGTAGACTCCTGAGCTAGCTGGTTGGCCCTTCTTCCTCTCTCCCTTCTGACCTCTTCCACAGTGTAGTAAGACTGCACCCCCCAATCCCTTCCCTGTACCCTTAAAGACACAGGAATCAAGTGCAAAGCAAGAAAATAAACACAAACTCTGGTTTTTTTCTCTTTAAGCTGCCTCAGACGTGTCACAATGTTGCAATCCTAGAATGAAAGGCTCTGGCAATTGCGAAAAGCTTTAGCTTTAAATTAAGCCTGTTTACCATCAAAGAAAACTTTCTAAAAGCCATAGACAGACTCAATTAAAGGGGGTAAAACTAATTACATTTGTTTAAAGGGATTAAACCTTCCCTATTGTCTTTTTCCCCCTTCCCTCACCCAAACCATGTTCTTTTATAGTCTCTCCTCTCTTTCCCCCCCTTTTCTTCAGTTTACCTCCTGCTCCGAGCTGCTTCTGGAAGTGCCAATCAGCTGGAGCCAATCAGCTAGAGCCCTGCCAGCTCCTGGGGCTTCTGCCAAGCCCAGACAGTCATGCAGCTGCCTCTCCCTCAGGCTTGGCTTGCTTAGGCTCATTCCCCTCCCACTACACTTGGCTAGCAGTTGCATGCCACCTGCCACATGGCAAAGTACCACAGGTGGTATGCATACCATCAGTTGAAAAGCCCTGCTCTAGGACTTGCAACCTTGCTTCCTGAGTTCAATTGTGGGAGGCAAGCAGTTTACTTATCTTCAACCTGGCACTGTGCTTTCTTCCTAGAAACAGAAGAACCCACATGCTTGTGCTTACAGTATTACAGTAAGTGCTTACAATATCTGGTAGCTTGAAAGAGAATATTCTTTCCCATACACCCATGCAGTTTTTAAGGCTACTATGACTTTGCCTTCAGTGTTTTTCTACAAAAGTGTTAGACCTCTTCTAGTTTGCCTTCTTCCTCAGTTTTGCACATCCAGTCAAAGAAACAGATCCAATTCAGATTTGTCCTGAACATAAAACCCTATTAATCTTTGAATTAATCTAGTCTTTTATTGCAATTGTTTAATTTTTTTAAAGACTCTTACCCTTGTTCTTTCCGCAGGGTCTCTTCAAGTTCTTTATTTTCATTCTGCCATGTCTGAAGCTCATTTTTCATGGCATCTACATCTTCTTGAATATAGTCCATTATTTTTCCAAGAGGAAGAGCACTCCGACAAAGGGCCTGAATGGAGCCGCGAAATTTCTCTATTTCTTTAGTTACTAAATCTTTTTCCTTTCTCTTTGCTGCCTCTGACAAATATGGCTTCTCCTAAGTTTTAAGAAAGTTCAGATATCAATCAATGGGCAAAATAAAGTAACAGGGCTGAAAGAAGCATCAGTGAGACAGTGTTCATTTCACGAGGAGACATGGAATATAAATCAAGTAAATATCAAATGCAGAGAAATAAAATATGCTTACTTTAGTAAAAAATATGTCATTGGATAATACAATAATCAAACATTAATATATTCTCCCAGTCCTTATGAGGTGCAGCCCAATTAGACATCATTTATTCAGAAAGCAAATCAAATATTTTATGTCAACGTGACTTCCTTAGTCAACAATTCATCTTCCTTCAATTTCCAGACTTTTTTCATGGCCAAAGGATTGCATAAGAACAGCATCTGAACCCCAGGTCCAACATCTTAGATCTAGCATCCATGGTGATATAGTTATAGTCTCATGGTAGTATAATTTATCTTCTCATAAATAAAGATGGAATAATTGTTAGTGAACTGGATGAATCTTGTTAATTGTTTTATAAATCTGAGGACTATACTCCTTGAGAAAGTATATTTTGCAGCCCTCCATTGATTCTACCAAGGTGATGTGAGCCTTCAAGGTTTCATCAGGTGGCAACGTTTAAGGGAGTTAAATTATATCTAACCTAGTAGATGAGCAGATACCTTCAGGGAGAAGCAGTGCCACAATTTACCCAGTCCTATGGCACATAAAGGGATAACTAGCACCTGGAAAGGAACTGGATGCCAGTGCAGTTCATGCAGCAGTGGTGTTACTTAGGTGAATACCTGACATCCAAAACTCTCTGACCTGCTGCATTTGGGACCAGCTGCAGCTTTTGGATGATTTTCAAAGGCAAAATGTAGAATGTATTGGAATAATCTAAACAGAAGGTTATTCCTGGAGCTTACAGGGATGGGTGCAATTGGTGCACAAGATGGATTTGTGCAAAGGCCACCCTGGCCACAGCTTCCACCTGTTCTTTCAGCAGAAGTTGTGAGTCCAAAAGGACACCCAAATTGCACACCAGTGTGAGGTAGTATTACCTCCCCATCAAAAGTCAGCAATTCTCCTCACCCTGGAGGGCCAAAATTCCACAACCATTCCAATCTTGCTGCAGTTGAGTCATGACTGCTTTCTCTCCATCCAGGTGCTTACAGCCCCTAGGCCAGGGGTAGGTAATCCAAAACACTCAAAGAGCCACTTGGACCCGTTTCCCACCAAAAACAAAACACTGGGAGCCGCAAAACCCTTTTGATATCTAAAAGGAAGATAACACTGCATATATCCTTTTTTACCTTTATACACACACACACACACACACACACACACACACACACACACACACACATACAGACATATATATACATATACATATACACATATATATATCTCATAAAGGTAAAAAAGGATACATGCAGTGTTATCTTCATTTTAGATATCAAAAGGGTCTCTCTCTCTGTCTCTCTCTCCTTCCCTCCTTCTCTCTCCCTCTCTTTCTTTCTGCCCTTGGTCTGCCAGTCCTTTTCCCCCACTCTCTTTCTCTCTCTCTCTTTCCTCTCTCTCTCTCTCTCTCTCTCTCTCTCTCCCCTTCCTTTTCTCTCTCTTTCTCTGTCTTTCTCTCCCCCCCGATCTTCTGCTCACCTGGCAAGCTGGCTTCAAGCTGTTCTCCAACAAGCTCAGAGGTAGGCAACCTCGGCTCTTTTATGACTCATGGACTTCAATTCCCAGAATTCCTGAGTCAGCATCGCTGGGCTAGCTAGCTCTCTCCTGCCCTTCCTGCTTCCTGCAGAGACGCAGCAAAGGGAGGAGCCACGCCCAAAAAGATTTTCAGCTTGTCGAAGAACACAGTGAGTCCACTCTCTTTTACACACACACACACACACACACACACACACACACACAAACACAAACACAGAGACAGAGAGAGACAGAGAAGCAGGTGCCTCTCTCTGTCTGTCTCTCTCTGCAAATGGCAGAGGAGGCTGGGAACCACAGTGGAAGGCTCAAAGAGCTGCATGTGGCTCCGGAGCCGCAGTTGCCGACCTGTGCCCTAGGCACAGAGCCAGCACCCGAACAGCATTACTTGCCTAGCATGAGGTAGAGATGTATAATTGGGTATCATTAACATATTGATGACACTGAACCCTATGTCAGCGGATGACTTCTCCCAGTGACTGATATAGTTGTTAAATAGGACGGGAGAGAATCCAAGGCCTAAATACTTTACATAATAGGAGTCTAAGCTTGGACTTCTCCTCCCCACTAGCACTCTGGTACTAGCAATGGAGAAAGGAAAAGACCCACTGAAAAACACTGCTCCCAACTCCTAATCCCTGGAATAATCCAGCAATGTTGGAATATTCATGAGCAGGAAGAGTCATGTGGTAACTCAGTCAGCCAATGTGAAGAAAGTGCTACTGAGTCTGTGCAAAAGAGTGTTGAGTTAGGAGCTGGATTTCCAGTCTCAGTTTTGTCTCTGTATCTTTCTGGAAGAAGTCTTCAATTGAGCTATGTTGCTGTAAAGAAGAATGTATGGTATTGTAAATTTTGATATGAATATAAAGAAGTTATTTTGAATCAGCTAAAGGCAATCAACTGTGAGAGCTTCTGATTTATTTTTTCACCAACAGAGAAATTAAAATTCTCTAACAGGTTATGGGTCCAGAGCTTACTAAGGACTGCATTGTAATTTAAAGCTGGAAGAAATTGCCTGTGTTTAGAAAGTATAAGAACAAGGCAGAATTAGCAGAATGGCTGCAATGGAATTTAAGGAAAGCTGTGTGCCTCATTTGGGCCAGAAGAATTATATTATATGGGCTGCAAAAATGGAATATTTGCTGAAAGCAAAAGAGCTGTGGTATATTGTAGAAAACCCACCACAAGTATTTGCAGCTGCAGATCAGAAAAGCCATGATAGAGCACTGGCTTATCTCATCTTGAATTTAGATGATGAACAATTTCTAAATGTTGCAAATTTAAAGACTGCAAAGGAAATTTGGTTGAAGTTGAGAGCTGTGCACGTGAATGTTTCTGCATGCAATATAGTGCAATTGTCAAGAAAACTTTATAGGGCCTGTTTGCAACCAGGTGAATCTATGGAACAGCATTTAAATAAAATACAAAGTTTATTTTTGGACTTAGAACAATGTGGGATTAAATTCCCTGAGTCCCAGAAGGTTTTATTGGTGTTGAACAGTTTAGATAAAACCTGGGACACAGTTTCTATGATATTTGAGTGTAAAGAAGAGCAAGACTTAAAGTTTGAGGCTTTAAAGGCATGTTTGCTTAATGAAGAAGAAAAACACCATTTTAGAAGCAGCCATGAGGAGGAGAAATTCCTGAGGAGGGGGTCCAGACTGTAAGTCTCTGGAGGAGAAAAAACAAGCAGATCGACTCGGACCAAGTTGCAACAAAGGAGAGATTTTGCAAGCAGAGAGCTGCTTTGCAAGAAAAGAATTGCTACATTTGTGGAGCGAGCACACATATGAAAAGGAACTGTTTGCAAAGGAACTGTTTGCAGCAAAGGACATTTGCGCATGCAAAAAGACTGATTTGCAAAAGGAATATTTTGGTGTTGCAAAAGTTTGCTATAGCAACAACAGAGACAAGTGGCTAATAGATAGTGGGGCAAGTCAAACAATTGTTAATGACTCTGAATTATTTTGCAGGTTTGTTCCAGTAGCACAAGAAACTGTAGCTTTGGCAAATGGCCAGAAAGCAAAAGTCATTGGAAGAAGGCGATGTAAAAATTCCATATTTAGAATCAAAGTTTACCAATGTGCTTTGTGTACCTGAGATGGAACATAATTTGTTAAGTGCGTCTAATTTAGACAAACAAGGTTTTGAGATCATTTTTGTAAATGGGAAGTGTCTCATCAAAAGGAATGGGAATATTTGTGCAGAAGGCATAAAGGAAGATAATCTATATGTATTGCAGGGACAAAAGGTTCAATGTTCCCATATATTTAAGAATGTTGCAGAGCATGATTCATGTGTTCATCTTCTACATAGAAGACTTGGCCATGCAAGCTTTAAAGTTTTGCAGCAAATGCAAGATTTTGCAGAAGGGCTAAATTTGAAGGGATGCAAAACATATTTGGACTGTGCAGTATGCAAAGCACCAAGTCAAAGGCATTCCCAGTTAGTAAATGTAGCACAAGACAAACAAAAAAAGTTCTAGAGCTGGTCCATGCAGATCTGGTGGGACCTATGCAAGCCAGTTTGGGAGAAGCAAAATATGCACTGGTAATTGTTGATGATTATAGCAGGTATTCATTTTGCTACTTGCTTAGAAGTAAGACAGAGGTGCTACAACAATTCAAACAGTGGGTAAGTTTTGTAGAGAGAAGGTACAGACAACAAGTGTGTCAGTTGCAAACTGACAGAGGTACTGAATTTATGTCAACTAAATTCCAACAATGGTTGGGGCAGTTGGGGATAAGACACAGACGTACAAATCCTTACACAGCAGCAGAGAATGGTGTAGCTGAAAGAAGGAATGGTGTTTTGCAAACAATGAAAGATTCATTATTGGAGGATTCTGGTATGAGCAGGTCATATTGGGGAGAAGCCATATTGACTGCCAATTATATAGTTAACAGGCTGTGGAGTTCCTCCATTAATAATACTCCATATGCCATTCTATATGGGAGAAAGCCATCACTGGCACATTTGAGAATTTTTGGAAGTACTGCATGGGTACATATTCCAAAAGCAATCAGAAGAAAGGGACAGCAAAAGGCAAGAAAGCTCAGGTTTGTGGGCTATGAGCCAGGGTCAAAAGGATATCGCTTTAGCGATGGAAGTAAAAGAATTATAATTTCAAGGTCTGCTAATTTTGCAGAACAAAATTGGGACAGAATTAATGCAAATTCTGGGTATGTCTCATTTAATGATGGTGATCTGTTTAGTGACAATAACTCATCTAATGATGGAAAAATGATTATAGAAGATGTCAATGTTCAGGGAGGAGAGGCTGAACAAGACATGAAACCAGAAAGACTTGAGACACAGGAGCAGTTAAT